AAAAAAAAAAGGGGGGGGGGGGGGGAAGCTCCGCTTGGAGTATAGAAAATGTTGTCAAGAGCAAGAGTTTGGCAAGTCTAGGGTGAGTTGAATATGCCAGTTACCAGAGAGGTCGTACCCTCAGGTTTCACCAGAGCCTGGATTAAATAACTCTCAAAAGTTTCTCTTTGATATAAATTCATTTTGAACAAATAATCTTCCAGTTGATAAGTCCAATTAATAGTTCAGCTTGCAAGGCAGCTTAACACAGGAAATGGATGCCTGTATGGTAGATAGAAGCATTCTAGTCACAAGAAAGATTTGTTATTTCTTTGCAGTATATTAGTTCTCTGTAGATTACTAAATACTTTAGGAAGGTAGCTGGTCATCAGGACTTCTATGTTCTTGACATTTAGTGGGTGTCATTGCTATATTTTAGGGAGGTACAGTAGAGCATGTGTAAGGGAAACTAGAAACAAAGTCCATCCTGAGGAAAGGGAGCTAGGAGAAGCAGGAGAGGATGTAAGAGCCCATCCCAGGAGGAAACAGAAGTGGGATCTGGAACTGGAACCAAGAACCTGTTTGCTTGATCTGTCAGTCACTTCTTTTTTATTTCCAACTAACTCCTTTCTCTGAGGTTAGAAACCTGTAGTTCTGATAAAAAAGACAAACAAACCTTCCCTTAATGACGTACTCCTCTCTTTAACTTTCTCCTCACAGCCAAGCTTTTAATTTCTACTTATCTTCCCTTAATTCCTCAACCCACCACAATATGACTTCTTCCACCTCCACTCAAACTGCCCTGTGCACAGTCGCCAATGATCCCTCTTATATCTGACAATCTCATGGACTTTCTTCTGGTCAATTTTACTTGACATCTGCAGAATTTTATCCTGTTTTCCTCTCTCTCTTTTTAAACACACTCTCTTGGCTTCTGGGATACACTCTCCTGGTTCTGCCTAACAGACTATTCCTTCTTTCCTCTGATAGCTCCTCCCTGACCACCAGATTGGGCTTGTTACTCCTCCTTTGGGTTTTACCCTGACTGCCATTCTGCCACTACATTTAACCACATTATATTAAAATAGTCTGTTTATGAGCTGGATCCCAAAATAAATTGAAAGCTCCTAAAGGGAACCTATGTCATATTTATCCGTATTCCTCCCACTGAGTATGAAGCCTGGCACATTGGAAGTGTTATTTATTTATTTTTTTAACCTAACCTCAGCAAGAAGGCCAGCCAGGCTTGTGGAATGACTGCACAGGCTGGGGGCTAATGGAGGGTCTCAACCTGATTTTCTCCTAGGGCTGTGTCACCTCCAGGCCACTTGGTCTGCTGTAGCATATTACTTCCAAACTCCAGTAGCTATTGTAGGGAGTATTTCTTAAGATACTGGTTGGGGGGGCCGGCTCAGTGGCGCACTGCTACAGTGCGCCGCTTGGGAGCGCGGTGGTGCTCCCGCCGAGGGTTCGGATCCCACATACAGACCGGTTCCCACTCACTGGCTGAGCGAGGTGCGGGCACAGCACTGAGGGTTGCCATCCCGTTGCCGGTCCCGGTCTGGTACGGGCGCGACACTGAGGGTTGCGATCCGTTGCTGGACACGAAAAAAGACAAAAAAGGAAAAAAAAAAAAAAAGATACTGGTTGGGTTCTCATTTCTGGTTCTGAGTTTAGAGGTAGTAGACATTTAGTATCCAAAGTCAGGCAGGCAAGGACAAGCAAGGACTGCTGGACAAAAGGAGTTTCTAGACCTCCAAAGCTGAGGACACTGCACAGTGGCTGATATAGTTTGTATATATTTGTCCCCACAAAGCCCATGTATTAAAAACTTAATCCCAACTATGACAGTGTTAAGAGGGCGGGAAATCCTATTATGGGAATTGAAAAGTGGGAGGTGATTAGATTGTGAAGACTGTGCTTTAGTGAATAGATTAATCCATTGATGTTTTAATTGTGGTCAAGGGCGTGGTTCTGTTGGATTTATAAGACTAGTGAGTGATGTTACTCTCTCTCTCTCTCCGCTCCTGCTGTATTCACCATGTGATATCCTGCATTGCAATAGAGCCACCAAGGCCCTACCAGATATGCTCCCTGGACTTTGGACTTAGCCTCTGAAATTGTGAGCT